CAGTCAGCTGAAGTGGCCTGCAGTGCTGCACCCTAACCACTGTGCCACCTCGGCTCAATGTGTGTAGTGGATTTCTGAGGCCCTCAGGGTGGTAAATAAAAGGACCCAAATCTCCATTCCCATGAGCTCCTTGGGTCTTCACTCGTTTCAATTTCTCCTAGGGTAGTTCCTGCTGCCACTATTTTATTTTCCAGGGGATGCCTCACCTAGAAATCATTCCCTAATTCCAGGGTATGGGAAGGCTCACACTCTATGCTGCTTTTCTTGTGATTCTAGCTCAATTTCTTAGAACAATGTCTTGAAAAGCAGCCACCACTTAATTCTGAAACTGCCAAACTTTTCCTAAAAGAAAAAAACAATTCCTAAGTATTGGGAAGAACTTAGTATTGGTATAAAAGTCATTCAAGAATAGACTGCTTGAAATACAGCAAGTTCTCTTTCAACTAAGGTTTTTATGCAGATGTTCGATTACCACTGATCACTTCCTGCTTTATTTTCATTAGATTCTTTCAAACAAAAACCAATAGTCACATAAGAAAAAAGTTTTACTGCATAGTGCACTTTATTCAGAGTGAATGGATTCAACTGCATCTCTTATTAAATGGATGTACATTCACATTAACAAAGTTAATCTTAATATTATTACAAACATTACTACAATGTTCATTCTATAGGAAGCATTGTTGTATAGAATTGAAAACTTAAAATACAATTTTAATTATATTTATTCTATGGGAAATGGAAAAGTTTGACTAAAATAAAAATTCTGGAATTCTGAACTATAAAATCTAATCAAACAGAAAAGTATGTACTTACGAATAAACATCATTGTCCACAATTATGCCCTCTGTTAAATGGGGCCATGTAGCTGCTAAATGGAGTTCACTGGAAGTAGAAGCATTACTTTTATAAGTTTTGAAATTATAACAAAACAAGTATTAGCAAGAACACTTATCAAACACCTTATTATATGTTGCACAATGTAGCTGCATAAGCAATAGTTCTATTAAAAAGATATTTGAAATAATAATAATAACTACTTACCTAATAGGATCCTCACAGGCACCAAATGGTAACTTTCCAAATTCTACACCTCCAACTTCACCTCCAACTAAAGCATCTATATCTATTGGCCAAACATATTGTTATGTTTATATAGTTATACATACATACATAAAAATATTTTGTCATATTATTCTACATTAAATATATATTCTAATTCCTACCACCTGAGGAAAGGATGATATTGCCACAACAAACCAATAAGATCATCTTAGACACAAAAGTTTAATCTTTTTCTTAATGTTGATCTCACTTTTTATGAGAGACAGTGGAATGAAGAATTAAAAAAAAAGTTTTGTACAGTTTCTATACAACCTCTTCTTGAAAAAAGTTCAGATTCTTCAGTTTTGCAATCATTAGTGTTATGGAGATGGTAGTAGAAAATATGTGCAGATAGTCCTTGACTTACAACCACAATTGAGCCCAAAATTTGTTGCAAAGTGAAACAATTATGGTGAACATGTCTTTTTTCCCCTTCCCCTAGTCTTAAAGCAGCTGTCACAAAATATTTCATATACGTTAACATTTTAATTTACCATATTTTTCAGAGTATAAGATGCACCAAGATTTTTAAGAGGCAAATTTAAAAAAAAGTTTTTGCACTCTGCAGACCTCCCAAAAACGGCCCATTTTTTGTCAAAAAAAGGCATGCAAAAATGGCCTGTTTTTCACCCATTTTTGCCCTCTCCACCCCCCAGGAGCACTCTGGAAGCCTCTTAAAGGCTATGCACGGATATTTTTGCAAAGGAGGCGGGGTTTTGGGAGGCCAAAAATACTGCATTCAGTGTATAAGACGCACCCAGATTTTCACCCTCTTTTCTGAGGGAAAAGGATGTGTCTTATACCCCCAAAAATACGGTATCTGTCCTATAAACAAAATAGGGGAAAGAAGAAAAGAATTCATGTTGCATATTTCTTTGGTTCTAATATACTTTTGTACTAAATTCCACAACATGAAATTACCATACAAATAAATCAGTTTCCTACCTGGAGGTTGTTGAGGCCAGAAATACTGCTGCCAATCTTGAAGTATATATGTAAGCCTAATACTTATATTAATTGCAGGCAGTGGAGTTAACGGGCAGCCCTGGAAAACATACCAATAAGAATAATCACAAAAAATGTGAGGTCCAAACCATTAGGCATTCCTAATCTTGTGTTTTAACTCAGATAATATAACAGAAAATATTTCTGAAGGACAGATTTTCAAAATTGTATATAAATACTTTTTGCAATCAGCTGAATTCTACCAATGTCCTTCTGAACCACTTTAAAGTTCAAACTAAGACTGATTCACAAAAAATACATTTCTTGTGAGCATTGTATTTGAAATGACGTAATTTGTGAGATGAAAGACTTTCCCCAGGCATTGGATATGTGACAGAGAACAACAGAAGTCACTTTCAATCATTCTGTATTGAACTGAAAAGACAGAACTTTAAATTTTGAAACCTTTCCCTACTTATACTGTTCATATTTAATCAGATTAAAAAGAGTAGGAATAAAAACTAAGGAAAACTGAAGTCTGAATAAATTATAAATGGTACATGATGTAGCACAATCTTCAAAAATGTTTAATCTGCATGGCATTTCTGAGTAACCTCACCTAAAGTGGCCCATTCAAAATACAGGTAGTCCTTGCTTAATGGCCATTCATTTAACAACTGTTCACAGTTGCTAGTCCTGGAAAAGTAATGTACAATCAATCCTTGTATTTACAACCATTGCAGCATCCTTGAGGTCACATGATAGTGATCCAGGTGCTTAGCAACCAGCTCACACTTACAATAGTTCCAGCATCCTGCAATCACATGATAAGTCATATCTGACCTTCCCATCTGGCTTCTGACAAGCAAAGTCAACAGGGAAGCTGGCAGAAGATTGCAAGTTGTGATCAACTGATATCTCACTTAATGACCATGGCAAAAAAAAGGTTGTAAAGTCAGATACAGTCAGATGGTGCCTCACTTAATAAACACAATACTTAACAACTTATATTCTGATCTCTACTGTGGTTGAGAACTAACTGTAGCATAAAAGTTACTGCACTTGCTACTTTTGGGAATATCATTTGGGGCATCTTCATGCACCTACCACATGCATATACAAACTATACTCACAATCTTAGATTTAAAGATATCCAACAATCCAGATAAGTGACTATATTGACTGGGTACTTTGCGAAGGTGAACCATTTCAAAGTCAGTTCTGACTCCAGGACCTTGACACTCCCCAACATACATTTTCCGGTGTCTGTGATGAATTTGCACAAATACTGGCACCTGGCTGAAAAATATCGAAAATGTTTTCAAATAAAGATGATTTTACTCTAGGAGGACTAGACTGATTAAAATTACTAATGTAGAGTTTGAGGGGGGGGAACCACACTGAAAACTCAGCAAAGAAGCAATTTTATATCATCTTTTTTTTGCTTGTTGTTAGCATCTTGTCTTGTTTCTGCAAGCTAGTAAAACAAGGTTCTTCATGTGCATCTACTTTGCTATAACAGCTAATGCAGGATTATAAAACTTAACTTTACCACTGTATATAAACAGAGGTCTAGTCCTGTTCCCTTCCAGCATTGAAGATGTTATTTAGTTGGATAATGAAACATCTGCACAGAAACAATCAAGCTCAAAGACACCAAGAACCCCACAGTTCAACCCTGAGGTACAAACATCCTCTTCTGTTGGTAAAACTTTACTTACCAGCCTGTGTTGCCCAAAGCAATAGAAACTGAACTCAGAAGGAGATTACATTTGGATTCGCTAAGAACTGCCTCATTGTTTGCTGCTGGTGCAATAACTACAAGTTCACGTAAGCCATACCTAGAACAAATGAAATATTCCACTAAATTTGGATTTCAAAGATTAAGAGGATTAAGATGCATCTATCTCTCACTGTTATTTTAATATTAAAACAATGGTCTCTAAAGATTTAACATGATCTAACATCAGGCAAAAACACTATATTAACAATATTCTTTTTGATGTATTGCATTTTGTGGCATAAATAATTAGTCTATGTAATATTTTTTGTATTTGTATTTGTTTATTATATATTCTTTAATCATAATTAAAAATTCTTACAAGTAATTTCTTAAATTAAAATGTAAGATTTTAAATAATAGACATACCATCTTACTAGACAGTGAGCTCTAGGAGGGAAATCATTGTTCATGCATAGAAGATCTTGCATAGCAACAGGAAGAACATCTGTTAAACCATTAAAGATGAAACAATTAAAGTCTTTAAGGTTTCAACTAGAACAAAGGTTTTGATTAAATAGCCAACATGTGTTATTTGCTTTTTAGTCCAAATAAATAATTTAATTTAATTTAGTAAGGCATAAATCAATTTAATTATTGTAAATACTAGTTGTTCTCCTAAATACACTTTCACAACTACTAAATAAAAAATAAGCATATCAGACCTTGGTTTTCTTTCTTCCTTTGAGTCAGTCAGTCCCTGAACAAGTCCTTGCATTTTTTAGGTAAGATTTTGGAAGTGGCTTGCCATTGATGCTTCCTAGGGCTGAGAGTAACTGGTCCAAGGTCACCCAGCTGACTTTGTGCCAGCTCAAACTGGTACAAACTATACCAAATCAGTTCCTATCAACCTGTATATTTCCCTCTTCGACTGTCTAATGAAAATGGAAGTTTTTAAAAATGTTACCATATATCTGTAGGCTCCTTTAATGAGCAAGTTATCAAATATATAATTTATTAGACTATAACATTGTCTGTTAGTAAGTACTAACTTCACAGTGTATCACATTAAAAAGTGATGTTTTCAGCTATCCAGTGTCAGTTGACACGGATATAGGCAGCATAGAAATTAAATAAAACAATAGATGCTATGAGCTTAAAAAAAAATTGAGCACATAAAAATGTACTCACCTTCTACTAGTTCATCTTTTGCATTTTTATCAGTTGATTTTTGGGCTAGATAATGATGCGTCACGGAGAATCGAAAATCAGCAAAAGTAATTTCATCAGATTTCTCTTCCCATGTTTCAGTTGTATATACACCCTATATATCAGACATAATTATGTGTTTAGAAAAGTTATCTGAAATACTTTTAATTATATTTCATAGGAAATACCAGTTAAAAAATCGACATGCTACTTCAAAAAGCATTTTTATGTTTATTCTTATAAAAATTCTGAAAAATTTAACAAAATAGAAATATAATTTCATTCCTTTGAACCTCCATTGGCTCTTTCTTCCTAATCTATGGATTCGTACTTTGTTTCATTTTTAAATCAAAGTAGATATAAATCAATTATTTAAAACATAAAATCTTTTCTTTAAATGTTTCATAAAAATAATCACAAGCTCAAAGACAGAAGAACAAAAAAGATTATTAGTATAATTTAAAAGCTGATGATTCTAATTCTCCTTGTATAACTCCTCAAAATATTCAGAGCAATCAACTGAACTGGAATTGACTTTTAATGACTTCATAAGTATGCATTTGCTTGCTTGACACTTAAGAATAGCATTCCATTTTTTGGTGTTTAATGAATCTGAAAAAGACGTAATGAAGTAATTGTTTTATATGTTATGTATCTTGTAAAGATGATAACTTTATCATTCAATAATAAAAATATATTCAGATTATGTGAAACAACAGTGCCTTTTTATTAGAAATAATCACAGAATATTCCAAATTGGTGAACTAGCAACTAAAATTGTTTTGCTAATTTAAATTAAGGCCACACTATATTTTCACACATTGATTCAATGTGATTTACTTTTCCTTATGTTTACATTGGCCTCTAAATAATTCCAAAGCAAACATCCTTACCTTTTCTAAAGGTTTGCCTGAAGAAATGTTAATAAGTTTCCAGTCATTCAAAACTTCTTCAACTCTGGAAATAAACCTAATGAGAAAATGTTTGAAAATCATTAGTATTAAAATCCATGTTTCTAAAAATAAACATAATTCAACAACATACTTTTTTTGCTTAATTTAAAGGAAAATTCATATTAAATACATTTTTCCAAAGTTTAAAACAACAGCTATCAAATGATGAATCACAAAAAGATCAAGAAAATGTGCTATACACAACAATATATTAGAGCTAGGGTCTTTTGAACTAGTTTATGATAAAACAATTCCAAAGAAATTGGAAGGAATCCACACAAAGTCCTGTTTAGATCTACAACTGATCATATTCAGGAAAAAAAGGCTAAGCTAGGACATATAATTTATAGAAGAAATGTATTGAAAAATCAAACATTATTAGGGAAATATCACACAAAGCATTAAAAGTAAATGTCATTATCCTGAATTGGCATTCCAGGCTCAGGCATAACTCAACACAAGTTAATAAACAAGGAAGTCAAAAGCAATGCTGACCCATAGTCCTCAACTTACAACCAAAATTCAGCCTCAAGTTTCCATTATTAAATAAGGCAATTGTTAAGTGAGTTTTGCCCCATTTTATAATCGTTTTGCTACAGTTGTTAAGCAAAACACTGCCGTTAAGTGAATTATGCCATCATTAAGTGAATCTGATGTTCCCCATTGACTTTGTCGGAAGCTGGCTGGAAAGATTTCAAATGGTGATCACATGTCCTGAAACAATGTAACCATCATTGGGTAACCAGAGATGCTGCATGGTCATAAGTGTGAAAACAATCATAAATCACTGTTTTCAGTGCCATGGTAACTTTAAACAATCATTAAATGAAGGGCTTTAATTTGAGGACTACCTGCACTTTGAAATGGTGAATCAGATCATAATAATGATATGTATTAATCAAAAACAGATTTTTAATATTCAGTTTAACCAAACTGACGGGCTGATTATTTTGCAAGTTGTGAAGCTATTGTCTCCTCTGACTCATTTGGAACTTTAAGACTCACTTTCATCAATTTGATCACTGTCTAATGACATTTGCTAAAGATCACAGCTTGATCTGATGGAGAGAATTAATAGAGCTTGAAGCCATAAGCTGTATGGTATCATAGCGGATATATTAGCACTTTGACCTATTCATTTCCCATTTTATATTTAATTAATATGTAAAAATTCCTGTACATTTTCCTCTTCTTTGCCTTGAACAAAACAAATATACTGAAAAAAAACACAATAGCACATACAAAATACTATTGTAAGATGTCAACTTAATTAATTTTCTTATAAATATTTTAGAAAATATGTTCTATTGAATGAAATGAAATGTACTTTTAAGAAAGCATACTCAAAATTAATAGATAACTATTTCTAATAAATATGGACAGTAGCTGAAACACATAAAATAACTTCATTAGTCATAGCTAGATAGCACATTTCTGCTTAACATAGCATAATTTCAGAGCACCCTTACAGAAATGTCGAAACAGGTTCTTAAATAGAAAATTTTGTAATTCATAAATTCATATCTGCCTCCTGTAATATCAGACAGTTGATATATTCTGTACATTCTGAGTCACATCCCTTCATCAAAGAACCTGATAGAATCCAGAAAAGGAATAATTCTCTGTCACAGTGCTGACCTAATTAAACAACAGCCTTCCATCTTCAGAGATTCAAACAACCCTAATTTTATTTTCCTCACTGTTCAACAGCAACCTTTTTTTTTTTTTAATTCGGGGAACCCTTTGAGACTCATTTCTTTTCCTGACTCCTCAGTATCACTGTTAGCTGGAAAAAATGCACTTTTCCATTCAAGCCATTTTTAAATTCTGTTCAACTGTGTTCTATTCTACAGGTTTTTTTGGCAGGCCTTTTTAAAAAAAAAAATAGTTTGTCATTGTTTCCTTCCAAGAACTGAGAGAAAGTGACTAGCCCACAATTACTTTCTGCCTAAGGCAGGACTAGAACTCAGTCTCCCAATTTCTAGCCTGATGTTTTATCCATTAAACCAGTGGTTCTCAACCTTTCCAATGCCGCAACCCTTTAATACAGTTCTTCAGGTTGTGGTGACCCCCCAACCATAAAATTGGTGTCTTGGTCCCTAAGACCATCGAAAATTTGTGTTTTCCAATGGTCTTAGGCGAACCCTATGAAAGGGTTGTTCGACCCCTAAAGGGGTCCCGACCCACAGGTTGAGAACCACTGCATTAAACCAAGCTAGCCCTCTTATTAAAATGTGTTGTACAAAAGCAAAATATTTGTAATAGCTAACAAAAAAAATTAATTCTATGCAGACAATGTATTAGAATAATTTATTGAAGAAGATGTAAATTATGGCAGAAATATCATATTCCTGGCAATTGTTTTGATTGCCCTCTCAAAAACTTAGGCCCCTAGAAATGTAGCAAGAACCCAGGAAATTGATATAGCCGGTGATGAAGACCACTGCTCTATACTTTTATTTTTCATTCTATATACTACCCAAAGTTGTTGACAAGTTTGGCAACCAATTGAAATATAAATAAAGAAGTACATAACTACCCAGAGCAACTTTATATTACAGGCACTGTATCAGCATTTATTCTACATGTTTTTCAAATATTTTGTCATATTTGTCTTCAGTATCTTTTGTGAACTGGATCATTCACCCACAAAAAATATCCTTACTATACCTGAGTTGCCAAGTAATAGCAAGCAACGTAAACCTAGAAACCTTTTCACCTGTCCAATGTTAAGTACATGTATACTTAAGTACATGTATATGTTAAGTAACTGTATAATCAATCTACAGAAGATATTTATAGGTATCTCTTAAATACCAGACATTCTAAGCAAAAAGGGGCCTTCCATGGAACAACCTGGGTTCACTTAGCTGTTAAGTATGCATTCCCCAATGTCCTACCATATTTTCCTCACAAATGCTGCTATTAGGAGTCCTCTCTTCCAATGTGACCAACCACTGTCGGCAATGCAAGACTCCCAACAAACTCTTTCTCGTGAGTTACCCGTTTACATTTGCATCCGACAAAGCAATTCCAGATACAAAAAATACAAAACCGAAGCCAGACGAAAGACCCGGGACAACGCGGGGTTCCCTAAACATAACTGCATCGATGCCAACGCAGGTAAGAAGGAGGGAAGAGAGACACCGCGGAAAGGTGAGGCACTTACCTCTCCCACTCGGAGGCGGTGGTGAAATCCGTGATCTCGAACACTTCGGACTCCGGCTGTGGAAAAAAATAAAATAAAATAAGGAAGCAGCAAGTGAAGTACCGAGCGGACAAAGAAAAGGGTTAAAAAGCACCGGCACCGCAGCGCCACTTTCCCGCTAGCCCGAAAGGGGAAGGAGGGAGGGGGGCTGAGGGGGTTTTAACCCGGCGAACGAACCTCACTGTCGGCCGCCATCTTGAGAAGCAGCGTCCCGAAGGGCATGATGGGAGGGAGACAAGACGGCGCACGGCGCGGCGCGGCGCGGCACGGGGGCATAGGGGCGGGAGTGTGGGGGTGGGGAAACCTTCCTGAGAGCCGGAGGGTCTGAGGGAAATTTGGTTTCCCCCTTCTTTTGTTACTGGGTCGCCGTATTGCGCGGGACAAGGGGAGGGGGGGGTTCCTGTTTAGGCTTGGGATGAAGAGGCTTGTGGAAATAGATCTTGGCGATCCGTATTGTGTTGTCGAGATAAATTGACAACTGCAGGAATGTGATCAGGGAATCAAGTTCCAGTGGCTGATGTCCTGATGTTAGTTTATTGCCGCAAAGATGAGAAAGTCGATTGGGGGAAACTGAGAGGGCAAGAGAAAAAAGAAAGTGCTCCTGCGTTTAATCCTGTGGAAAATTAAGATGGGGTGCACTGTTTCCTCTGGGCCTCACAAAATGGGTGGCTGGTTTTAAATCATCCTAGGAGCTTCTTGTTTTTTGGTAAAGTTTTTTTTTTTTTTCATTTTCATAACATGTAAATCACATGCATACTGTTTCATAGCCAACATCATATTGTATTATTAAATGTTTACAACAATTCCTTTTACCATCAACTCCCAAAAACAATTATTGGCTCTTCTTCTCTCCATACACCATATTTGTACCTTATCCATCACTTTCTTCTCCCTCTCTCATCCCTCTCCCTACCTCCTTTCTTCCCTCTGTCATCCTTCCCTTCTCTACTTCCCCTTCCTCTCTCCTTCTCTCCCCTTTTCACTCCTCATTTCTCTCCTCCTCTTCCCCCTTTCTTGCCCTCTCTTCTTCCCTTACCTCGCCTTTTCTTCCCACTCTTCATCTCATTTACTTGGTGTATTTCAGCTTCTGAGCAAGCTCCATTTTGTGTTGATGGTATTTATAGTTCCTTTTCTATATACATATTTCTATATACATATTTCTATATACATTTCTATATACATATTTCATTTTTATATATATATATATATATATATATATATATATATATATATATATATATATATATATATATAATATATATATTATATTATATATTATAATACACCCCCAATTTGTGATTCTGTCTTTTAATCTCAATAGTTTCCCATTGTAGGTGTATTTCATGTTCCCTCTCCATTTTTCCATATCTTGGATTAGTTTATCCTTAATTATATAGAATAACAAGCAGTAAACATCTCACTTTATTCATCATCTTAAAAGTTCTATATATATATCCATGTTTCATATATTTTAACCCATGCTTAGTTGTCCTTCTATTGTCATTTTTAGTCAATTCACAACTCAGTTTAATTATCATGTATAAAAGTGAATCACAAACCTCTGCTTTACAATCTCCCCATATCAGTTTCATATTCATATTCCATAAATTTTGGGCTTTGTTTAATTATCTTTCCATTATTACATTAAACCAGTTAGCAACTCCATTTTATTGTCATATTTAGGAATAAAACCCTTATCTTGCTTTATATTTTCCCATATCTAGATGTCTGATTTTTCCTAGTAAGGCTTTTGTCCCACTTCTCTGTTCCTGTCTTTTCCACTCTCCGCTCTCATCAATTTTTCCCAGGCCACCCTCAAAGGATATTATGCTCAAAATATATCAATTGGAACAAGCTTACAAACAGCCAAAATCGGGTACGTTTCTCTTTTGCCTCCTGCTTTTCCAAATTCTGATTTATGGAAGTTGCTTAATTAAACCCTCCCGCACAGTCAAGGTTAAGTTATCCATTATCAGTGAGAAGTGCTTTTTTTATTATATTAGTGGAAAGAAATTCAAACACAGTAAAAGTAAATTCTTCGGAATATTTGGTTTCTACTTCAAATCCAAAACCAAATTTAGAGTTTATAATTGAGTGAGTTTGTCACTTCTCTACTTTCTATCTTTTTGTCCACAATTGTTTCAAGCAAATAGCTTTTGGGGAGACTGGTGTTTCAACCATCCATTTTCCTTTTTTTCTTTCTTTTTGAAAAAGTCCCGATCTGACTATCAATATTATTTATGTTCTCAAATTTTCTTTGCCTTTTCCAGGTTTGATTTATGGCTGTGGGTTAGATGAATTTTCTTACCGGTCTTTCATCTCTTCCACACCCTCCTGTTTCATTTGCTCTGACAAAAGCCAGTATCTTGTCATCCATATTGCAGACTGTTCCCCCGACTCCGATTCATAGGCGAAGGACCTGTTGCCTTCCTCTGGGTCTGATGAGATGCTGCCCTTCTTTGCCTCCCTCCGGGGGGGGTGGGGGGTCTGATCCAAAAAGGATCTCAGAGATGATTTGTCAGACAGGGTTCATGTGAAGCTCTTAAGGGCCCCCACACCCCAAGTCTGTCCAGCTGAAGTATTTCCTGTTGACTCCTAGTCATCCTAGGAGCTTCTATAAGGGACGGTGGCTTAGTGGATAAGATGGTGAGCTTGTTGATCAGAATGTTGGGAGTTCAGCGGTTTGAATCCCTAGCGCTGAGTAACGGAGTGAGCTCCCTTTACTTGTCCCAGCTTCTGCCAACCTAGCAGTTCGAAAGCAAAGGTCGATTTCTACCGTTCGCTCCAGATCGGGAAAACCAGTAGTGGTGGCAGCGGGAGGCTCCGCCCACCCGCCCGGATGCTTCTGCGCATGCATGCACAAGCAAACCAGTATTATAATAAATTGAAACCCACCACTGTTTGAAAGCATGTAAAAATGCAAATAGAAAAATAGGAAACACCTTTGGTGGAAAGGTAACAGCGTTCCGTGCGCCTTCAGTGTTTAGTCATGCCAGCCACATGACCACAGAGACGTCTTCAGACAGGGCTGGCCCTTAGCCTTTGAAACAGAGATGAGCACTGCCCCCTAGAATCAGGAACGACAAGCACATGTGCGAAGGGAACATTTACCTTTAGGAGCTTCTATGTGGTGAAAGAGAAGTGGACCCTGATGCTGAGGCAATGGAGACTAAGCCCTGTTTTTCTCTGTGCCACTTCAGTACTGTACTTAACAAAAAGTGGTCTCTAATCATACACAAATTCAATAGGTAGAAGATAGGTTTCCTTTTAAGGTTTATTTCAATTATTTATGAGCAACAGATAGGTAAATAAAAACCATGCTTTATCTGTGTCTGTGTCTCCCTCCTACACACACACACACACAACACAGCTACATCTATCTGCTTATTAATTAAGGCCACATTTGAGTTTCCCAATCTAGATATTGAATGGCAGGGCCATTCACTTTTTTTTTTTTTTGGTTTATTTTAGAAAATTTATATTGCTGCCTATTCACACATAGTGACTCAAGATGGCTTACAGGAAACATTTCAAAGAGGATTCTGACTCATGGGATGCAATTGAAACAAAAGTTAACAGAATTAAAGTGCTTGAAATAATAAGGATAATAGGACTGAGATTACAGTATGTACTATGGTTGTGAAAACAGAGATCTTGGCAATGTCAGAGTAAGTACCTGTATTACTTAAACCTAGAGTTTGGAGATCATAGAGTAAACAGAGCCAAGGTTCTGAATGGTAAAACCTAGAGAAACAAAAAAGGGAGAAGACTACATGTTCAACTCATTTATGTTGTAGTGGTAAGATATCTGAAGTCATATTTTTTTCAAATTTCAAAAGCCTGCCAATATTCAATCAGCAAACATGTTTAAGAGATAATTTAAGATTTTTTTTGCAAATAAAGATAATTTCTTTTTATCAAGTTTTCAGAAAGCATTCATCTTCTCATGGTTACTCAAAAATTAAGTGAAATAATACATTTTATGTGTGATGTATATTCTTAGAATTTTGCTTCAAACCTCAAGCATGTTAATTCCAAGATCTAGATTTCTCATTTGCTTTCCCAGCCCAGCTAAGCCTCTTTGTTCAGTCATTCACTGTACAAAATCCTCGAAGAGAGTTACCTTGGTGACAGCTTGTAAACTAAACAGCCAGAACCTAACTCTCAATATCAGAAGGATTTGTGCTGAGAGAAGAAGGATCTTCAGAGCTCAGCAGTTCTACAATCATGTTTCTTCCTTTATTGCAAGTCAAGAATCAAATTGAAGGTAAGATAGAATTTCAACATCTTTATTTTTCTTCCCTGTAAATAAAATTCAACAGTGTATAGGACATGTCAACAAAAAAGCTGCTTTGATATAAAATTTACTATTACTGCAATTACTACTATTGACCTACAGTATTTAAACTATGGTATATAATTTTAATTCATCCATTGTATTTGTGATACAACAGGTCTATGGATTCTGCTAGAATGATATTTATTAGTTTTGTTAATAATACCTAAAACTATATTTATTGGTGATGTAAGTGGAATTTGGAATATTTTAATCTCCCTTGCTAGATGAAAATTTGCATTGGACTGCTTTTCAATTGGTAGGATGAGTTACAACTAAGAAATATACTTTCTACTATTTCCACCTATTACTTGAATATGGATGTTGTAAATAGAATAAAGGAGACAAACAGCATCTTGAGTTGAGTGAGCTTGCCACCGGAATCTTTTTTATAAAATTTCAGCTGACAAATGCAATATAAAAGGAATGCCCCATTGTTTGGAAGCCCATTGTGTTCATTCTTTTGTATCTCCATTTTTTATTTTTATGCAGTTTTTATTATTTTTATAAATAACTTAAAAGTGGACAAACATACCTGATACTATTTCCTCCACCTATTTTTCCCACAACAACAATTCTGTGAGGTGTGTTGGACTGAGAGTGAATGAATGACCCAAAATCACCCAACTGGCTCACAATTTCCAGAATTTCACTGTACATACTTTTTGGGAATTCTACAAATGGTAGAATTTGTACACAATAATATTGTGCCCTAATAATTGTTTGGATTCCATTTTGCATTCACTTAGCTTTTAAGTGGTTTAAACTAAAACAGTGAATGTGTTACATATACCAGTTTTGTACTTTTTTGTTCCACTAAGCCTGGATTCTATACATTTTAGGCATAGATAAATGGCTGCTTTTATTGTGGGTTCTTCTTCTTTCCATTGTAACTTTTAGAAAGTAAAGTAAATGTGTTTTATTAAGGATTGTATTTAATTCACATAGGAAGTCTCTGGTTGAAATATTAATAACAATTTTCTATTATTTTCTGAAACTTACAGAAACTTTTTGACAACCTATCAAAGCAATACAACTTCCTCCACTAAGAAAGAACATTAAAAAGACAATGATGCTAATGATCTTTCACATATTCTGAACTCTCATTCACCATTCAAGAAGATTGACCTCCAGGCAGATGTTCAGCAGGAGGGATGCATTAACCGTTTATCACACCCTCAGTCTTCTCTGTGCATTTGGGATACTCATATTCATTACTCAGAATAATGTTGCATAGTTTATGGCTACTCCAAAGCCCAAGAAATTGAATTCTAGTCAAAATGCAACAGATCTGAGGCATATCTACTAATTGTACAACTCTGAGTGATCTCTGAGAATAATAGTTGTGGTTTTGTGATTTTGATAGTTCTGATAGTAGTCAGAGCCCAACTGAAATATTTCCTGAAGTAAAAGAATCAGAATGTTAATCCTTCAACACAAATATATTTTTAACTCTGAGTGTGCGGGGAAAAAGATTTAATAAGTAAGAATAGCCCTAAATTAGATTAAGCAAAGCAGAATCATCAGAGTGTACACTTACAACAAAAGTGTAAAAAAGTGCTGGAAGTGCTGTTGCAAGCAAAGCTAACAAAAGATCATGCTTTAATGACTTAGTAGGTCTTGAATCATCTGTACCACTGTTTGCCAAACAGATGGTTTGAATAGAAAATGTAATTGAATCTGAAACTGCTGAAAGCAAGATTATGCTTGCCCTAAAGAAAGAGCATGCTGTGTAACATAAACCAAAGCTTCAATATTTTTGCTCACAAGAAGAGTGGCAGATATAAAGGAAATAGCAACAGATATCTTTTAAGCACTAAACTGTGTACCAAAATGGCTCAGAAGTTAATGATTTGGGGCAAGAGCTCCATCCAGCATCAAAATAAGATAAAAAATCCTATTTCTCATTCTTTAGGATTGCCTCACGAAGAGACTAAGATATCTTCAAAACTTCAGAAAAATAATCTCCAAGAGGAGAAAAAATGCTTCCAGCATAATGATCAGAGTTCTACAAAGCAAGTTTTTCCCTGTATTCCTCCAAATTCTGTTACTTTGAGAAAAACAATGTCTCCATTGCCTGTTGGACAAGTACAATCCCCAGTAGACCATTTGAATCTGAAATACAGTGACATGTTTGAGGAAATACATTCTAATGACAAAGGTCCTGGCATTTATGAAATGTTTGGGACTCCGGTATATTGCCGTAAGCCTGATGGGTGTGGTGAGAATAAGAGTAACAGGAATGTGCGTTCTGCTCCAACTGGATGGCATAATGATATGAAATATAAATCCAACTGCTTCAATGGGAAGAAGGGTAGCAGAATAAAAATTCCCCAGAAGAAAACATATTCTAAATTTCATAAGGATGTTAGTATTAAACCAAAGTTGAAGGAGAAGGAAGTTGCACCAAAAAAGGCGTCCAAGTTAACAGGTTGCAGTCTAGAACAAGGCAAAGATGTGACTCTCTCTTTTGCTGGTCTGCAGATTCAGCCAAAAGAGAGCACTGAGTCCATTTGTGAAGATACCGATCAGCAAGCTCAGATTTCCATTGAGTTTCCTGAACTTGCTAAGCAAAACAAAGTATTTCCTAATTCAGGCTTGTCACCAATTGAAGAAGCATCATTGGAATATACATCAGATAATTATGATGATGGAAATGAAGATAATGCTTTTCCTACGAAAGCATTTGCCACCAATGTTCAGGAGTTACTTTGGCCAGAAGTTAAAGTTCATGCAGAATATGCTCCTTTCTTAAGCTGTGTGAAAAATACAAATGAACCAAATAATGCAAACAACAGTAGGACTTTAAGGGATGGAGAAGAAACAACAGCTGATTGCCTTGTGGAGCAGGAAACAAGCCAGATTTTACACTATGAGTATAATCAAAAGCTGTCCGCATCCTTTTTTACAGACCAAATAAGCTCACCTTCTCTAGAAAATATCAGGGTAGCAAATATGACAACTGCATGGACTTACTATCTTGCAAACTCAGTCTCTCAGTCATATACAAATATGTTTGATTATAAAGATTATAAGGATGTAACAGCAGACATATTCTGTTGCTCAGTTGCTCAACTGCTTTCTCTGAGTGGGACAGATGGCAACAATTCTAGCTCAATGACCAGAAACATAAATGTGGAGGCACAAAGTGGAGACTGGAGAATAGCAAAAGTTAAAAATAATAAGGTAAGCAAGCACCATAGCATTCTACATTTATAATATTACGGATAGTCTAATATTTAGCCTTTGCTGTACTTTAGTTTCCACATTTTTCTTCTTATTTGTTCATTCTTAGAGCAAAATGGGCTCTTCATTCTTTTAGATCTCTTTTTAAAAACCTTAAAGCATAAGAATTTGTTTGTTGGATCAAACTAATAACATCTTTCTAGTCCAACAGATAACCTGATATGTTCACACACTAAGCAGGGCAAGGAGATCATGATCCTTTGCTGTCTTCAACATCTGATGTTCATTTTCTTTATTTAGACTATATTTGTAGTTACTTTTATTTTATTATTTAAAATATTTATATAGCTACTCTGGGTGGCTCCCAATTGAATTAAATTAGGAAATTTATTTAATCATTTTTTGACAATAAAACCATGTGCCTCTGAATAATAATTTCAAATTGAATAGTAGCAACTTCAGTCAGTCTCAGGGCTGTGATATGAGAAGCAGAAATTCTTTCCAATTTCAGATATTGTGGTTTAGACTTTACAACATGTAAACATAACTCTCAAAACAACTGATAAACCATCTGTATTTATTTTCTATTGTTTCTCTAGCAGTGTTCTGTTTTTCTGCCATAATTTGCAGAATCTTTGTCCAGATTTCATGGGATATGAGGAAGGAAATCCACTTTTACATGAAACTGCATTTTCAGAAAACAGCTTAATTAACCAAGAGTCTGTTTTGTGGACCAAAGGTGAAATCCTTGGAAAAGGAGCATATGGCACAGTAAGTTATATTGAGTCTGACTGCATTTTGTGTACTGTATTTGAAATATTTTAATATTTCCTTTTGAACAGAATATCTCAAAATGGTGCACAAACTTAAAAGATACTGAGATATATTAATACATATTAATTTGGAATCAAATTAAGCTTCTGAATATTGTTAAAACTAGAGAGATCTCTCAACAGATTTCTTTATGTAAGACAACTAGTAATTAATTCAGTTGATTTTGTACATCTTCTGTTTGGAATCTAGCCTTTGACTAAATATCCTAGATATACAAATGTTTACATGTATAGCCTATTAAGGAATAACATCTCCATAACTGATTTAAATGGGAGTTGAAATGAGCAAAGTATTTGTTTGCTTTTTCGTTTAATTTAATTTATATAGCCGCTCATTTCAAACAAGTAATTATGGGGAAATAAGGTGGGAGACTAAAAGCGGGCCATTCCTTGGCAAGACAGGAACAATGTTACACACTGGTTTCACATTCCAGATCCTGGATCTCAGTCCCCAGACCTAATCAGAAGACAGACAATTAAAACACAGAAAGAAATTAAATACAAATAGCAGCCAAGAGATAACTATAATCTGACAGTATCAGTGTAACCAGGAAATGGAACCCTTTACACACTCAGAATCCCAGTCCCAGACACATATCTAGGGCTTCAAGACCCTCCAAAAGGCCAGTAAAGTCAAGTATCCTAAACTCAAGTGGGAGGGTGTTCCAAAGGGCAGATAGTACAGCAGAAAAAGCATGTTTCCTGGTTCCTGCCAGCTTGATGGGCCCTGGTCTATGCCCATCCTGGATGGGGAAAAACAACTGGGAGTTTTTCCAGGTTGTTGTTATTCACTGCCGAGTCCAAGGTAATGAAATATTGTCTCTGTGCAACCTAATTGTGGAGTAACACATGATATTGGCAGGTGTTAGTGTAACTTGGTTGGGTGTGATCATATGTACCTCTATTTGATGCCCTATTTCAAAGGTGAGAAGTTGCAAGAGTTGCAAGAGGCTATGACTAAAGTAGGGAGAAGCTAATGATACTGCTAATGTATCAGCTTTCCAACAGCAGCTTTCCTGACTAGCTAGTCTCATCATGGGGACTCTTCCAAGTTATTAGTCCTGCGAGAGAAGTTTCAGACACAATGCAAACTGTGGCTTTCAGAGGAGGAACTGCACCTACGACTGCATAGATCCAACTACATGTCAATTCCTAGGAAGCATTGATCAGCCAGGTGGGACATGGATCCAAAACATAGAAGGCAGCATGGCACACTGGCTGCATTCCTCAGTATTAAGAAGCTCAAACACTTTTCAATTAACCAAGCAAGATCTTACCACAATCACACATTAGAGCTGTGTGAAAGACCACCTCTGTATGATTCCAAATGACTTTTATCTGACATGCCTTGAAAACTCCTCACAGAGGCCCTGCATGGTTTATCCAATAAGTACCGAGTCACCCTAAATGGGCCACCTTTCTATCCACAGATCCAACAGGAACATATCCATTGTATATTCACCCTAGGGATAGAAAGGCAATATGCCTTTGAATAATAATATGCATATTTTGCCATTTTTACTGCAAAAGACTTGGCCCATGCTCAGTCAGATGCATATTACACCTCCTTCAAGTCTTGGGAAATAGGAGTGGTTCTTCTTCTTTCTGAGTGAGAAGTTATGGTTGGTGATTATGAGAGAAGAGGGACCAGACCTGTAGCATCTGCTATACATGATGGAGCCTTCTCCCCCATGTTTTCTACCTTTCCCTGATGTTTTTACATGATCCACATGAAATCCCTGGGAAAGGGATAAGTAATCAGTATGTTGATGATATCTACAGATCTCTTCTATAGTCCATTGTGAAGATGCTATGAATATCCTTGGTGCTTGGGACTGTCAAATCAGCTCAGACTGAATCCCAACAAATCCCAGAGTTATTGTTCATCAGAATGAGTCATCTGGCTCATTGCCTAGTCCAGGAGTTGGCAACCCGCAGCTCTGGAGCTGCATGTAGTTCTTTTGTCCCTCTGCTGCTGCTTCCTCCTTTCATCCCTCTGCTGCGGAGAGAAGTGGCCGCTGCCACTGCTGTTGCTGCCTCCATGGCCTGATTATTCTTGCAACACCTCGCACAGCACAGTGAAATTTAGCACATTTCACCATGGGGGAGACGGGGTCCTCTCCTCCTCCTGGCACCCATTACAACACAGAACCACAATGCAACCTTGTCCCACTCGCCCCTGGCAACAGCAGCGGTGTTAGCCATGGCATAGGTTGGCGCAGAGAGCAGGTTGCACGTCTCCGTGAGCAACCCAGCACCAACAAGGGCTGGAAGAAGCAAGAGATGAGGCACAGGCGAATCAGAATCACACAGAGAGGCAAGAGACAGATAGATACAGAGTGAGGGGTGTGGGGGTGGGAAATGAGTCCAAATAGCTCTTTGAGTGTTTAAGGTTGCAGACCCCTGGGCTAGTCTAATGTTAGCCTGGATTGGGTCACACTGTCAGACCTTTCAGGTCTACCAGTTAAGAGGTTGAATCAATATTGTTGCTGTAATGTTGTTTTTTATTTGGGTGTCATATAAGTTGTAACTTTCCTTGAGACTTTGATTTGGCAGGATAGAAATGAAACGCATAATAGAACTGTACAATTATAGTGTCATAAAATGACTGAATCAGAAGATGCCATTGAGTCTAACTTCCTATTCAGGAGTAAAAACCATAGCACTTTTGACCAATTTTTATCTAGCATCTCCCTATGTAAGTGATTCTTTGAACTGCTGTTTGACATTTAGGAAGAGGGGCATTTGGACTTCTAGTACTGAAGTGATTAAGCTGAATTAAATTAAAAATATAATTGTTTATTGGTTCTACTTCAAAATGATCTGGTTTGATATTTAGGTATACTGCGGACTTACAAGCCAAGGACAATTAATAGCTGTGAAACAAGTAGCACTGAATGCATGTGACCAAGCTGGGAATAAAAAGGAATACCAGAAACTGCAAGAAGAAGTTGAGATTTTGAAAAACTTAACACACATCAACATTGTAGGGTACTTGGGAACAAGTTTAGAAGATAACATAGTAAGCATCTTCATGGAATTTGTTCCTGGTGGTTCCATTTCCAATATTATTCATCGCTTTGGGCCACTGTCAGAAATGATCTTTTGTAAATATACAAAGCAAATTGTACAAGGAGTTGCATATTTACACAAAAACTGTGTGGTCCACAGAGATATTAAAGGAAACAATGTTATGCTTATGCCTAATGGTATAATCAAACTCATAGACTTTGGATGTGCAAAGCGCTTAGCGTGCGGGAGTCTGACTAATCCACATAGTGAACCACTGAAATCTGTACATGGCACTCCATATTGGATGGCACCAGAAGTTATAAACGAATCTGGCTATGGAAGGAAATCAGATATATGGAGCATTGGTTGCACTGTTTTTGAGATGGCCACTGGAAAGCCACCATTGGCTGCCATGAATAAACTAGCAGCCATGTTTTACATAGCTGTTCATAAAGGACTTATGCCTTCACTACCCAAACATTGCTCAGACGAAGCAGTTGATTTTTTACATCTATGCTTAACAAGGTAAGTGATGGTATACCTAAAATTAGAGTTTTATTCACATTAAAACACATAACAATCAGGTTTATTGAGTTTGAGCTCCTTAAAAAGATAAAATAGTAGTTTATATATCACAATTCAATCACAATTAAACTCACATAACATGTTAATCTTTTCTGACCTTTGCAGTTAGGATTGAGGATAAGCCCCTTCTATACAGTGCAAGCTCATATATCCTTCAGTTGTGTATCATGTCTTCCTCAAAAGCCTCTGGGATACCTGTCAGGTAGTTAGTTCAAATCTTTTTATAGGCAGGAATGTGCCACTAATTTAATATATGGGGATCCTTGGCTCTTTAGACATTACTGATTTGCAATTCCCTATGTTCCATCCTATTGGACGTACTACCTAGAATTGTTGTAGGATATAATGACAGTTAAAAGGCCATAGGTCCCTCACCCAATTCTATGTAAATAATTATCTCCCCTCCCCTCTGTACAAGCATACTTAATACTCTTCCTCCCATTTCCCCAACAAACCTGTGTTTGAGAGAGGGGCCCCAAGTCACCCAGTAAGTTTTCATGCTCATGGCACATCTAGAACTGTGTTCTGGTTTCTAGTCCAGCACCTTCACTATTGTATCAAATTGATTTTCCAAAACCTAGTTTTCCTCCAGCGTTGCAAATGGATTTCCTTTGAAAATAAGAAAAAATCCCTTCTCCTCTCTCCCTGTAATCATCTTTGGGTCCATAGATTGATTCAGAAAACTCCTAAAATTTCTAGAGATGTGAGAGCTTCAGGGACCAAAGAAACATCTCCTTGGCATAAATTACTTTTTAGCAGAAAACTACCATGTTGTGAGCCATGTTGGCTCAGTGGTTAGAATGCAGTATTGCAGGCTGACTCTGTCCACAGCTTGGAGTTCAATCCTGATCGGCCGAGGAATGACTCAGCCTGCCCTCCTTCCGAGGTCAAATGAGGACCCAAATTGTTGGGGCCAATATACTTTGTAAACCACTTAGCACTATAAAGCATCATTAAATGGTATATAAGTCTAAGTGCTATTGCTATATTCCATTTAAGACTAGTCAAACTTGTTTACCTGCCTATCTTGTGAAAGTTAACTTTTGAAGTAAGTATAATCTTTATTGTCATTGTACTTAAATACAACGAAATTGGTTGAAAGCAAGTTATGATAAGACAGGTCCTACTAAGAAGATCCATTCCTATGAAACCTTTGAAGATGTCCTTAAGATTTGTGTAGGATTACGCAGGGAGAGGTGAATCTTCCAATACCAGAATGATAAGTTGTAAAGGATTTAAAACATATTTCTTACAACCATATTAATTTCCAAACTGTTTTCAATGGTAACCTCGGCTACTGTGTAGACCATTTTTATGCAATGTCAATATCACAGACTCTTCTGATACATATCCATCTGAAAAGAAAATAAGAGAACACTGGTAATATGAAAACTTTAGTTATCATTTAAATAACTACCAGGAACCAGGGTAGTTGCACAGTAGAAAACATACTAGAAAACATTGTCATAACTGAATAAATTATTTGTTTTGACAGCTGGCCATATGGCATTAAATTTAAAGTTTCTTAGCTACATAGGAATCTTCGTTATCACTTTGTGGAGAAAACCAAGTTTGATTTTACTTTACAGATTTGTATATGCATAAAAAGGATGAGAAACAAATTTAATAAACTTAAGTGCATGAACTTCAGTTCAAATGCTGGATAATAATTATCTTAAAACATTAATATCAATATAATTTTGTCTAAACATAGAACTTGGGGCAATGTAAATACTTTGGCGTAATTTCCCAGAGCATAGCACTATCTTTTTGGCTACATTTGAATAGACAGAGCATTTATTAATGCAACATACTCTAAGAACCAGATGTACATCTTTCAAAGAAGTTATTAAACAGATAAAAAATCATGAGTAACATGGTTTGTACCAAAGGTTTTATTGCCTGTTAATTTGTTTTTTTTTAAACACTTCATGCAGGGACCAACATGAGCGGCCTACTGCCTTAGAATTGTTGCAGCACCCTTTCATAAGAAGAAACTCATGAAACCTTGCAATGCTTCTATCAAGCAGCTATAAACTGTTTTGTTTGGGAAAATGTCTTCTAAATTGAGAAACTATTGGCATAAAACTTGTAAAAGTTGCTAAAATAGTAAATCTTTACCTTTTCTAAATGAATTTCATACAAAGGATTTAGCAAGTGAGTGTGTGTTTGTGTGTGTGCATGTAAATAAGTTCAAAACCTATCAGGCTTTTATTTTATTTTACTCAAAACAATTCATATTTCTGCCTTCCCACTCCAGTGGAGCCACTTAAGAGACATATAAACTTTTGAAGCAACTTATAACCCTAAGCTAAAAGTAACTACCTTTATAGTCCTGGACAAAAACAAAAATATTCTCAAAAAGTTTTTTGAGTCTAAAAGTTTATGCCAGAATCTAAAAGGTTTGAGAATACTTTTAAATTATCAGCACACAAAGTATTCCTGATAATCTCAAATTTTGGTTAAGCAACAGTACTTTCCAAAACCTATTGTATTATATGTAAATGTGGGAATGCTAAACCACAATCCAGTGTAAATGTCCCCAGACATAAATCCTTTTATATTAACCATTGGATCACCACTGTAGTGTCTATTTGTATATGTTAAGCAATATTACAGATAGATGGAGCTTGTTACTCATCTCTATATTTATCAAGATAGGCAGCTCCAATGAAGTTCAAAAATTATTTGAAAAATTTGTTAAAACAACATTCAAATATATTGCAAAGTTCATTTAACTTTTCTATTTCAGGATATTCTGAGACATGCAGCTAGTCTAAGCTGCCTTTTTTAAGGCAATCTATTCACCTGCTCATTTGCTATTTCTTGATTCATCCTCCCTCCCTCCCTTTCTACACACACACCTAAGCCCATGTATGAATAAGCCAACCTTCAAATTTTTAATCAATTTTTATCTCCAGGTAAGACCATTAAAAATGTCACCTATAGATAACATGATCTGCATTTTTCATAGTATTTTGGGTAAAATACCAGTAATTTGAGGGTATGTTTGGCTGCAATGTATACTTGTCACTTTGAATGTACATTAATCAGCATACATTAAAAAGTAATTTTGTTGCATACAGCTCTCAAAGGGTCTCCACCTCCAATATATACAACATGAACATGACAAATAAATACAAAACTATGCATATAAACACATATATGGCGTGGAGAAACAACAGTCTAGTTAAGATGTATACATGTACATGGCGAGAAAAACAAAGTTTGAAAATTTACCAGACAGATGGTATAGGGAACAAAGCTGTTACAGAATCTGGTAGTCCTGCTAGAAATACTTTGAAACTTCTTCCAAGAGGGGAGCAACAGAAACAGACCATGAAGTGGATGTGTAGGGTCTCTAGCAATGCTTTGAGCTCTATGCACCTAGTGCTTATAAGCAGTATCCTGAATTTTCTCAGCTGTCCTTTACCTCTCTGTATGGACTTTCTCTCTGAGGCACTGCTGCTACCAAACCAGTGATGCGGTTTGTTAAAACGCTCTCAATTGTGCCTCTGTAAAAAGTGTCCAGGACAGGAGAAAGATGTGCTCTCTTCATCTGACTCAGGAAATGCAAATGCTTCACACTTTACTAAGGATGATGTGCGGAGAGACCAGATTGTTAGTTATCTGCACTCCAGAGACTTAATACTGACCACCTCTAAAGCTGCATCTTTGATACTGAGTGGAATATGACCATGCCAGCTTTTTCTAAAATATATGATGATCTCCTTTGTTTTGTTAACATTTGGAACCAGGTTACTTTTATTACACCAGTCCATCAGAGCCTTCACCTCTTCCCTAGAAGCACCTTCATTGTAGTCCAGGATAAGACCCACCACTGCTGTGTCATCTACATACTTCACAATATGATTTGTAGCAGATTTGGCACGGCAGCAGTAGGTCATCAAGGTGATCAGTAGTGGACTCAAGACACAACCCTGTGGGGAACCTGTATCAAGGAGATTGGTATTTACTCGAATTTAGTTATATTAAGAATTGTTTTAATACTATGCTACAAAATGCCTGTTCTTCCACCTGCTTGCAAATGGAATAAGTTTTTCTCACTACCTTTAGCTCCTTTTTTATGTATCTTTTGGTTTTCGTTGTAAACTTCTTCACATGAGTCATCCTGTCCTGCAGTTGTCCTGTCATCCTCCATTTCACTCAGATTTACATCATTGTCAGCATTAATATGCATGGTGATAGCAGTGTTCTACCTTGTTTCTTGCTCTATAAAACATTTTTTCACTGTTTTTAGCAAATGTAGCTTTACAATGAAATCTTTATGAATTGCAGTAATCTGGAAACAAAGAACCTAGTTAAAATTATCATCTGCAGATTTGGTATCCTTCCTATATTGCTTCCTATGTGGAAAGTCAGTAATTGAGAAACATGCAGATTTATACAGAATAAGAAATCGAACTCCCCTTAATTTCACATTAGCTTTTTTGTACTAAATATACCCTCATCTAGAAATTGGCTGCCTTCCATCTTTCATACTCGAAATTGGCAGTGAATTATGTATTTTTTTAAAGATCTCTGTATTTGGAGTCTTACAGTTTCTGTATGTTAAATATTTAAAATGCTTCCCAAAATCATATAAGCCAGTTGTTCGGATTCATTTTAATGCATAAAGAAATGTTATTGCATGCTTCTGGAATTGACGAGAGGAAATAAGTTTCTTCTGAAGTAAAATATTTTAGGCTAGTATTGTTCCCTCACATAGCAATGGATATGCCAGTCCCAATTCTGCTTGTAACTTGAAGTCTGCCCATAATTTATTCAAGATTAAATATGAGCAATCTAAAAAAAAAAGTCATATTTAAATGCAAGAATCTAAGTCATGCATGTATGAGTTAATCAAAGCTCAGTACAGTAGCCTTGTCAAAATGAATGAAATAATAGTAGATAGAAATGTGCTATTTTCAGTGTTGGGCTTTATAGGGCTATCACTTCTGATGACTGACAAGGTCTGCTGAGGTTCATTGAAATTATAATCAAAATCAACTTATCTATGCTCCTATGACCGAGCTTCACAATAATTATGCTTTTTTCCTCCACAGAATGAAAGCTTATTTTCCTTTGGCAAAAAAACATGTTTTCAGAGATTTCAAATTTCTTATACCAGTTTAATGATTATAATTTGTTACAAAATGTCTAATTTTCTTCCCATTTCTTTCAGATTCCTTGAACTTTAGTTATTTAAATCAGATGCTGCTATATGCTATTAAGCATTGTTCCATCCCTGGATGTATTATTACCCAAGACTATTTCCTTGTAACTTCCCTCCTCTTCCATAAGTTTCATCTCTAATTCCTCTTTGACATTTGTTGCTTCTACAGCACAAATACAAAAAACCCTCTCTCTTTATTTCAGACACTGTCTACCTATTCTCTGAATGGAATATAGATTCTTTAAAGGCATATTTGGAATGAGAGGAAAATACTATAAGTTTCTAAATTAAAAGTAATTTTAAGTTAAAAGCTAGACTCACATGGAATACAAAGTTAGCAGTTTCAGGTGTTGTTTTTCAGAAATACGTTTTATACTTTTAAAAATTTTAAATAGTGCACGAGCTCCTAGGGAGCCTGACATGCTTTAAACAGGATATACACACTGACTACACAAATGAATTATTTCAAAGTTTAGAATCTAAGAATATGAATATAATTCCTCCACTGAAAAGAGCAGCAAGAGAGCAAATGCTTCTTCCTTGCGACTTTTCTCCAAATTTCATGGCCAAGAGTAGACACTGAATTTCATTCTTACCAAAGCAAATGTCCAGGAGTTAAGCCATCAGGTTATGCAACATGTTTAACACTTAACGGTATTTATCTTTCTTGGGAACATTCGTTCTTCCCCACAGATTTCTTAACTAAAGGAGTTAATAATGATTATAAACAATGATAATGGATTATAAAATTCAGTAACTTTAGATCATATTAATTGTAAGTGAAAATGCAAGTAGATCAATGAATTAAGTCATAACAA